AAAAAAAAAAAAAGAAAGAAAGGAAGGAATTGGCAGTAGTGGGAAACTGTCAGGGGAGAAGGGGCAGGATTGACAGTTGAGGGAAACTGCTGGGGAGGGAGGGGCACACCTCATCAACAAGGGTACCTGCATAAGCAACTGTTCGTATACCTAAACCTGAATCTTACCCCACATCTTTATAATAAAAAAAAGAAAGAAAAAAGAAACCTCTCACACACCACACCATGTAAGGAGCCACAGGCTTCTGATAGTAAGAACCGCCCTAATTCTAACTAGGCACAGTGGCTTGTGCCTATAATCCCAGCTACTCAGGAAACTGAAGTAGGAAGATTGTTCAAGTCCAGAGGTTTGAAACCAGCCTGAGCAAAGTAGCGAGATCCTCATCTCTAAAAATAATAATCATAATAAAAAATTACCAGGCATGGTGGCACACACCTGTAGTCCCAGCTGCTCCAGAGGATGAGGCAGGAGTCCAGGAGTTTGAGGCTCCACTGAGCTATGATCATACCACAGCACTCCAGCCTGGGTGACAGAGTGAAACCTCATCTCTATAAATAAATAGATAAGTAAATTTTTAAAAAAGAATTTCCCTAATTCTAAAAATGATTTTCAGTACTAACGTTTGTGAGTTACATACACACACACACACACACACACACACACACAGACAGTTTTTTAAATGAAATAAATATTTTTGAGTGAATTGTACAGTAAAGGTAGATAGCTAGATTGCAAAGGAACTGTCACAAGTCACCAAAAATCTGCCCATATGTGTGTTTCATATAAAACGAGATGATAACATTTACTATCTTTACAATTTTCCCTTCACACTCTGAAATAAAGTCTCCATAGTTTCTCATTTCTTTTGCAGTTTTTGAAAAAACAACTTGATTCTTGAAGCCTGGTACCTGATTACAAAGTTCATTTTGACTCACCAAATATTTATTGGGTACTTAAAGCACGCCAAGCACTAGGCTATACAACATGGAAGAATGTAACAATGAACAAGACATACACTCTCAACCCCTAGAGGGAAACTTGTGATCTACTTGCACCTCAGGCTTATTTCCAGAAACAGCTAAAAATTCTGCTTGTAGTCCTGACTTAGCACATGGCTTTTCCCCTTTGATGACCCTCCAAACACAAAATTTCCTTTAGTTTCCAACTTACTTCCTCTTTTTTAACAGCATTCTCAGCTTGTGTTAAACTATTTCCTGTTGACATTTTCCAAATGCCCTTGTTTATTATTCTCTGCCTTTAATAAAAAAAAATAGAAAAACAACATAAAACGTTGTATTTGCTTTAGCATATATTCTTAGCCTAAGAAACCAAAACATGTCAAAATAACAGTGGAGCGAGGGCAAGAGTAAAATCATTGTAGTGCATATTCTGTTCATATTACATAGATGGATATGTAACCAATTAGATAGATAGATGATAGATCGTAGATAGATAGATAGATAGATAGATAGATAGATAGATAGACAGATAGAAAATAGCTAGATTCCTGTTTAAGGAAACTCTTCATATAATTGGTAACTTAATAGGAAGGAGAGGGGATTGTACTTAACAACAAACACCAGAAGTCCATTTCCTTCTGTGAATAATTATGTGCATGCTTGTTTATTACTGAAAATAATTTGTTCGTGAGAAAGGAAAGTTTGAATTACTTAACTACACAGTCAGTTCTTAATTATCCATGTTAATAGAGAGAAGCAATTGCTCTGATAATCTGAAACAACAGATAATCAAAAATTCTTCTCCTTAATTAGTCACCTGTCCTCCTAAGCAGCTTGTTTCCCCCTCCACTCCCACCCAACAAACAATTTTCTGTACATTAGAGAAAATGTTTTGCCAAGGTAATCTCTCCCCCTACAGGCGACTAGCCTACCAAGCTGATAGATCAGTTCCCTGAGGAGAGGCTGCAATACTGGAATGCCTAGGTGTTAATTTACAACAGGGTCTGGGGATAGCAAGGAGGGAATCTCTTCCTATAGAAAGAAATATACATATCCATCAGTCAGAGTCTACACTCACCTCCTGCTTGCTGGCATGAGTGCATCTGGGAAGCCAAACCCTTAAGGAAGAGGTGGTATAGGGCAATGATTAAGAACTGAGATAGGGAGAGCTAGGTGACTTTGTTTACTCCACTATAAAATGGGGATCATAGTAATTATTTCCTCATTGGGCTATTGTCAGATATATGCAATAATGAATGTAAAGTACCTAATACAATGAATGCCCTTGTATATCAGCTATTATTATTACTATTGTTGTTGACAGTGTAAATAATCATTCTAAGAATAGGTGGATCATCTCCACTAGGGATTGTGAGTTTGTTGCAAGTGATGTATTATAATAGTAATAAAAGCCTTTGATTTTAAAAAATGTATTCTAGGGCAACCCCTTCAGGTCTCCTCCCACTGTGGGAGCTTTTCTGCCCTCTCAATAAATCCTACTTTCTCAAAAAAAAATGCATTTGAGCAGATTTAAGATATCCTGCAATAACCTTTGCGTTTTACTCTCACTCCTGATAGTCTTTCCTGATAACAGAGGAAAAGATAAGATTACACTCTGTGCACTGGGATGCCTGGGCACTTCTTCAAGGGTAGGAATGCATTTCATGAAGACTGAGGTCTGTTGACTGGGGAACCTTTACAATCAGCCGGACCTCTACAAGCCCCAGTGAGCAATTCTTTCCTTCATCTGAGCAGAGAACACCTTCTAGTGCCTGAAGCTCCCCTCTAGCCTCAGTTTCTTGAGGTTTCTGGCCAGACCACCCGTTCCTCCCTACCAGAAGCACTCGGCTACATTTAAATGTATTCAAATCAGCCGGGCTCGGTGGCTCAGCCTGTAATCCCGCGCCTTTGGGAGGCTGAGGTGAGCGGATTGCCTGAGCCCCGCGGGTTCGAGACCCGCCTGGGCAGCGAGACCTCATCTCTACAATAAATCAAAAAATCAGCCGGGCATGGTAGCGCGCGCCTGTAATTCCGGCTACTTGGAAGGCTGAGGCGGAAGGATCACCGGAGCCCAGCAGGTCGAGGCTGCGGTGGCCGGGAGCGGCCACTGCACTCCAGTCTGGGTGACAGAGTGAGACTCCAACTCAAAAAAAAATAAAAATAAAAATAAATGTATTCATATCATTAGTGATGTCTCCTAATCTTGCTCCAGACCCAGGAGCTATATTCTATTCTCTCCTGAAGGTGATTTTGAAAATGTCTGATCTCATCTGATCTGAGTGGGCTTGATCAGAACAGCTTTCAGAGTTCTGGGGCCAGTCTCTTGTCACCCTTCCTTATGTTAACTGTCTGTGTGACTTTGACCAAAACAATTTTCCTTTGTACTATGGCCTGCATTGCTTTAGAAATTCTCTGAGAATTCTTCCTTTCTGCTAAGACCTTCTAGGGTTCTGGGATACCAACTGGGAGAGGTAGAGAGGACCAATGGGAAAGGACACCAGATAAGCAGATACATGGATGAAGACCCATCACTTCTACTTAACACTCTCCTCTTTATTCCATGTTGCTCAAAGGGAAAGATTTTGGCTTAGAGATCGTGGAGCAAGCATTGCAACATTTAACATATCAGTGAAATCCCATAAGTTATCTAATCACCTGGACAATTTCTGGTATTTTTTCACGGTGCCTCCAAAGAAGCTGACCTTGCGTGAAAGCCATCCTTCTTTTACTCGCTAGGTGGCAGCAACACTCAGCTTTGCCACATAAGAACAAGTATCCTTTCCATTGTCATTTCTGTGATGATCACTGTCGTCTGTGTTTGATTTGAGAGCACCTCGATACTTAGTATTTCTATTTTTATCTTTCTGAACAACTAAACAGGTTTAATTCCAATTACAAGTAGACTGGGAATCAGAACTTAAATCTCTGAACTCTCAATCCCAGTCTCTCTCCCCTTTTTCTTTTTTTAGGAGCAGTTTCACTTGGTAACTGTCTAACTCCCAGGGTTTTACAAGAATTAAATGAGACCATGCTTGTAAGGAAGGGGCAAGGAGGCACATCACACCCAGGCAGGTGTGTCACACAGGAGGAGGGACAGCACACACAGGGATGCGTGCTGATGTTCTGTACCACAACTTTCTGTGACAGTGTTTGATACAACACACTACACACATTTTTTTTTCCTCTTTTCCCCATACGGGACAGCACATGTATTTTTGACAAAAACATTTAACCTACATTCAGAAAAAAAGAAATGGGAGCCGGGCTCGGTGGCTCAGCCTGTCATCCCAGCGTTTGGGAGGCCGAGGGGAGCGGATTGCCTGAGCCCGCAGGTTCGAGACCCGCCTGGGCAACTTGGCGAGAC